GCCACCGGAAAAGATGCCTTATGTGGTTGGTTGCTGGGGGTGGGGGAAAGGATTAGGGAGTAAGGGGCAGTGTCGGTGTTTGTCAAGTGTACTGTAATGTGTTTGTTCAGTTTGTCAGTGAAGGCATTGAGCATTTTTGCTTCAGTGACATGTTGGGGTAGCCTGTTCCTATTGTATATGGTATGTGGGAAGACGGAGTCTTGTAAGAGTCTGTGTTGATGTGGATTGTGAGAAAATTTACTGTTATGAGTTCTGTGTGTTGTGTATATGTGCTTGTAAGTTTTTGTGTTTGTTGATATCCATAAAGTTGTTTGTGATCTTGTACATGATTGTAAGTCTGTGTGCTTGTCTTCATGTCTGGAGTAGGTCCATGTTTTAATATGTGGAAGTCTCTTGTTATTTTCCATTGCAAATAGTATATGTGAAAGTCTTGGTAATGCTTATGAAGTGACCCAACTCCAGCCATTCCTGGGAAATCCATAAACATTCACAATCTTCCTAACCCAGGAGCATCGCCCCCAGACACCCATCCAATCACTGTATTTCCCAGTTGGGGGCTAGCTCATGCCCCTGGACCCCCACCCAATATTGCTTTGCACATAGCATTTGTCATGACTTATTTTCTTTTTGACATCATTTTTTCCCATGCAGATTATTTCATATATTTGTGAGTGCAGGATAATTTTATGCATAAGTGATCACAATGAAATTATTGTGCAGAAATCCCCCCAAACACATTCTGGTCCCAAGCAGACGAAGGCATGAAAGGTGCGAGGGAAATTGCAAGGAAAAGCAGGAAAGGTACGAGGAAAATTGCAAAATTGCAAAATATGAATAATGTGCACAGAATCAGTCACTAGATTGTCTAATGCAGGAGGCTGTGCACCCTGCAACCCCACCATAGGCAGCTGTCATCCCCCAACCCCATTGCAGGGGTTGGGGGGACAGCAGGGTAGAGCATATGACCAACATGCAGGAATGCCCAGTGCCGAGTCTATCCAAATCTCTCCTGCCATGAATATATGGAGGATTCTTTGTTTTACTGGGTGGCCGTTAGGGGGTGGAAGCTCCCTGCATTAGACAACATAGTGACTGATCCCTGTTCATATTGTACCCAGCAATTTCCCAGGTACCTTATGTGTTGCACAACTTTTTTATCATCAACTTGCAAAGATAATACCATAGATGAATGGTGTCATATACCTTGATTCTTTTTCCTCTGCCACCTTTATATCTATAGAAATTATGGTGTGGACCCCCCTCCCCCCTCAAAAAAAAAATAAAATAAAAAAAAAATAAATAAATAAATCTATAGCATGGAAGACATGGAAAGTTATTGCCAGGAAAAATATAAATAAAATACACAGAATAGACGAGTATAAAGAATCCAAAATGTATCTACAGCAGGACAGAAAGTTGGACAGACTCCGCATCAGCTGCTCCCAGGCACTGTGATTTTACTCTGAATATATATAATACACCAGTATATCTAATGCAGATCATCATCATCCATGAATTAACCAAGTAAATTGCCATTACTTGGTTGTATCTTGCCATGTTCACCCAGTTTGAGGAGTGTGGTTATTAAAGAGATAAAGAAAATTTCATGGTAAAATGAAGTAGGAATAATGCATCTACACCCACAGTTTCATGAACTTGGAAAACTACAAATGCATCTATACCCACATTTTCATGAATATATGTTATTCTTAGGTGTTAGACACTATGATATAGACAGGAGATCTCAAAACATGTTACTGTGTCAAGAATTATGCTGTCTTTCCGAGAAGTTACAAAAAATTCCAATTAGAATTTTATGTGACTGTTCTCGAATAGACATAGGGAAGGTTTCATAATTACTGAAATATTTGCTGTCCACTTAGCCAGCTAGCCAAGGTAAGGAATTATAATCCTTCACAGTCCTTTGTCTAATCTTTTTCCTCTCAGGTACTGATACCAAGCTGTGGAAGATTTGCTGCTCAGTTCTAAAATCTATACGTAAAAGATGAGAAATATCAGTAACAAAGATAATTTCTTTTCACTTACTTTCATTATCATTCTTAAGAAAAGGTCTTGGTGAGGGACTTCGTCTTGGATACATCCTGCCATGGCCTTTCAGGAAGCTACACTGGCATCCTCTCCTAAGACAGTGCCATAAGGGGGTGCCAGTTTGCCATTTTCTTGTGAAATTTGCTGTCTTAGGCTTTCTTCTGGGGGTATTTCCCAAATAGTTTTATTTTTTAGGGACTTTCATTAATATGTATGCTTATTCTAATGGTAGACTACTGGAAATGAGGATGGTTTTGTTTTGTGGGTCTTAATTTTAATCAGTGAGAGTATATTTTTTTTTTTTTTTCTTTTTTTTTTTTTTTTTTTCAATGATTAATAAATTCATCATCATTATTATTATTATCATCATTATTATTATATTTGTTGTTGTTATTGTTTTTAAGCTATTATTTTATTTTTATTTTTATTATTGTTATTATTGTTATTATTTATTATTATTGTCATTATTATCATCATTATCATTATCATTATCATGATCAATCTTAGGTTGTTTGCCAAATTTTTTTCAAGTGATCATGCTATTCTATAAATATACATACTTTCATTGATTTTATACATTTATTTTATTAAAGATGCTAATTTTATTTTCATTTATTTATTTTTTTATTTATTTTTTTTTTTTTTTCAGATATCTGGTCCTCAGAGCAGCTCGGTAATAGAGTTGGACTTGATAACAGAAAAGCCGAAATGGAAAGACATTGTCGAAAACCACAAGGGATATTATCACGACACAGCCAAGAGAGCATCTAGTCAAATGACTCTGGCCTACGTGACCCCGGTAAGATCTGCTGTTTGCTACCTTTTTGCTAGTTGTGATGTGATTATGATAAAGAATGATTTTCCTCGCAAAGTCGTATGTTGAAACTATGATGTTAGGTGAGCGAATGATAAGGAAGATTTATGATTATTATCCAAGTATGAATAGAGAGGATTGCTTATTTTTGAAGGCGTAAACTGATTATTTTTATCTTTCAAAATTGAAAAATTACTCGAAAAATGCATTTCAGTGGAACAACCATGGCTATGATGTAGCCAAGTTCCTCGGAGGGAAATTTACTCATGTCTCTCCAGTTTGGCTGCAGCTGAAAAGGCATGCAGGGAGAAATGTGATCACGGGGGACCACGACATCGACCAAGGTTGGATCAAGGACGTGAGGAAGGCTGGCAAGAGCAGCAATGTCAAAGGTGAACAGAGATCAGTGTAAGGCCAAGTGGTAATACCGTGACATAGATATAGCCGCATTGGACTATTTACATATACAATGTAGGGATTTGATATTTAATTGAATTATATCTTGTCTTGGGTCTAAATTTATGGGATGTTTTATGCAAAATTTTACTCCTCTCATTCTTTCGGCAGTTGTTCCAAGAGTGATAATGGAGGGATGGCATCGTGATGACTTTGAAGAAATTGTCAATTCAGAAGTCAAGCGTGGTGAAGTCACAAATGACATTCTTGGTATTATCAAGGTAACAAAACTCGTAGTAAACCCTTTAGATAAGCCTAGAGATACCTTCACTTAGACAAAAGACATATAAATGCACTTTTGCATACAACTATTGTCATACATGGGCACAAACAAGATACTTGGTGCCCCATACAGCCTATGCAGTTCAGAAAGACAGCTGCCTTCAAGAAGACCAGATATAACTTACACATTTCCACAGTGTACTTTGTTCACTCAGCATATACAAACACAGACATGATAGGGACCTGCCTAGGACCCTAATACTAGCAGGTATACTCTTGAGGATTTGAACTATTGACAGACAGTATCACAAAATACATTCTGCCCATAGTTATTGAGTAACCTGGTGAAAGTGACTACATACGTGATGTGAATATCCTATCAGGGAAAGTCTAGAGATCTCAAGAACCATAACAACCTGCAGATATTACTTGAGAGAATGACATTTTTGTTGGATATCATTCTTAAATGCTGGGCTGCAGCTAAATCACCTTCAGACACAGAGAGATCATGCAGATGTATACAGACAAAGATTTAATCTTGAACTCATTCCCTACACCTATAGATATTTTATAGGTAAATATAGTAATAGTTTTTGCTTGTGTGTTTATTTATATCTGTAATTGAAATAGATTAATATGATAAGATTAAAAAAGATGATTTTATGTATTTGAATTATACAGTAGGATCTTTTCTTGCAGAAGCACAATCTGGACGGAATTGTGCTTGAAGTTTGGAGTCAGATCCCAACACAGGGAATCATAGAGAGGTTTCCTAGGGTTGTCCGTGACATAGCCCAGAAGATTCGTAAGGCTGGTTTCGTTTTCATTCTTGTCATTCCACCACCAGTCTACCAAAGGTAAAGATGTATTGATATATATAAATATTGATACAATGTAAACACACGCACACGCACGCACGCACACACACACACACACACACACACACACACACACACACACACACACACACACACACACACACACACACACACACACACACACACACACACACACACACACACACACAACGACAGACAGAGAGAGAGAGAGAGAGAAGATAGAAGAGAGAGAGAGAGAGAGAGAGAGAGAGAGAGGTTGGATGGAATACTTCCTCCCTAAGCCAAATTCACTTCACCTGCCACTCGGCCCATTTTTTTCTTGATGTGACATCATCTGGATCCAAGGGTTTAATGCAAAACAAATAATATAAGCTAGAGAATAAAACATGAATATGAACATGTTATTATATATTTTAAAGTTTTGAAAATAAATATGTTAACAGCAAGGTCAGATTTGTTTTAAAGTAACTAACATGTTATGGTAAAACAAGTCTCACATTTTTGATGGCTGTTGTTGATGTGGTCGTGTAAGTGTGTGTGTGTGTGTGTGTGTGTGTGTGTGTGTAGAATGAAAAAAAATGAATAATATTTATATTTCTATTCTCCCATATCAGGGGTGTAAGAGGTTCCTTCACAGAAAAGGAATTTCAGGCTTTAGCTGGTGATGTGGATGCATTCTCTCTCATGACGTACGACTTCTCATCATTCCAAAATCCAGGTGGGTACTTTATTGCTGTTTTTAAAGGAATAGTGATGGTTCTCTATTTAAATTCACTTTCATTACATTGCTTCATAAAAGTCTTTGATATTTCCAGGTAATTTTTTAAACATGACAGTATTGCTTGTCAAAGTTCTACAATTGAGTGATTGACATATTAGATTCTAGTATGCCTTTTTGGCTAAAAAAATAAGTTGCAACATTAGGGAAAAGTGTATCTGTAAATGATATAAAAACTCCCTATCGTCATAAAGCTTCTTCAGTGACAATAGAAACACAATTTGTACTATGAGAGTTCTTAGTTTTGGTTCTCTTGATTATCTCTATTTACTCTCTATGTTTCAGGACCAAACAGCCCTTTGTGGTGGATGCGTGATTGTGTCGAGAAATTAGTACCAGATGCTTCTTCTCCTGACCGTGCAAAGGTGAGGTTATATTATATTAGATGCTTTGCTTGAACTACCTTTTTTTAATGATGTGTTTGAATTTCATTAGAGGGAACAATTATAACCTTGACCTACTATTTGCTATTTATAAGCCTATTAAGATGTTATTTTTTCTTGAATGATAGTCATGTCATATATTGGGGGGGGGGGAATACCTAAACTAAATTGCCATTTTGTTGTGAATAAGAAAATGCAAAAGCATAACAGAATCAAATTTCAGATTTTCCCTGTATGAAAAGTCTGTATATAAGTTAATTAAAGAATATGTATGATTGCATACATTCATAAGACTCAGATGTAAAAATTGAATAAAGACATATTGCTTATTTTTTAGGGTCTTATGCCACCAAACAGTGATAACAATTGTTCAGTTGGAGATGTTTTAACCTACTAATTTTCTTTTTGGGGGGAAATGATATTTACATTCATTAATCTTCGACCATTAATCGTCATTCTACATAGTCTATAACTATTCAACAGAAATTTAACTAGTTCCATTCTCCTTATTTTCAGTTGCTTTGTAGTTACTAGGTTTTAGGTTCCTAATATCTATGAAAGGCAGTCAAAAATTGTTACTAAAAAGTGTCTTTCGGCAACAGATCCTATTGGGCTTGAATCTGTACGGTCTGGACCATAGTGTTACAGGAGGGAACCACATTATCGGACATCAGTATATAGATATACTGTCAACGTACAAGCCCAAGTTCCTCTACGACGGAGAATCACAAGAGCACTATTTTGAATACAAGTAAGTGTTGTCCTTTAAATGTTTACCCTGTGTGAGGCCCCATTCCTTACTTTTCTGCTTTCATGGTTGGTATATAGAGGATTTTTTTTTCTTCCTTTTCTTCTTCCTCTTCTTCTTCCTCTTCTACCAGCTCCTCATTTTTTTTACCACCTTTTCCTCCTTCCCCTTCTCTGATTCCTGTTCCTGTAACTCCATTTCTCCTTCTTGTCTTCTTCCGGTTCTTGTTCCTCTAACCCCATTCCTCATCATCATCCTCGTCTTTGACCATCTCTTTATTTCTTTTTCCCTTTATTCTTTGCTTTGCTTTGCTTCTCTGTGTTTTCCTTTACTTTTCTCTGTTGTGATGATTCATTGATCTCTTATTTTTATATAACAAAGAGAACATTTTTAATTTTGGGAGATTATCAGTAGTTGCTTCATTTTCTGTTTATGTTATGAACACTATTTTCTTTAATTATTCCAGAACAACATCTGGGCGTCGGACTGTGTTCTACCCTACTCTACATTCCATCAACAAGAGAGTTGACTTGGCGAAAGAATTGGGCACAGGAATATCTCTGTGGGAAGTGGGTCAGGGACTTGACTACTTTTATGATCTTCTCTGATTAAGGAAACAATGCAGAGAAGGTTTTCTCCATGGTGCTGTCCAAAAAAGCTGGACTGTGATTACTTTCTTGGGGTTGTGTGCGAATAAGGGGGATGATTTATTTATTTGAATGATACATAGTTGGTTATGTACTGTATGAAAAGCATTTTTTTCTTTATCTGTGATTTCTAATGTATTGTTTGTTTTGTAGAGGAGCTGTTCACATAGACCTGATGCATATGTGGCCTTATTGTTGTATAATTTCCAGTTTAAGGGTGGTTACAGACTTGGCATTTGTGTGTGGGCTTTAACAAAAAATTAAAGCAAAATTTTGTATTTCCAAATTTATTCAATTTCACCATTTGCACTTCAGTCATTATCATTGTGAAGTTTGCTTAATTGTGTTTAAAATCAGGGATTTTTCTTAGAATATTATGATGCAAAAGTAAAGAATGTGCAAGTAATTGTTATTGGTGAAGGTGATTGAAACAAGTGTAATGTCTTGTATTGAAGAATAATGTTATTTTGTTGGATGATAAGTTTCTCTTGCATATTTACTGAGACCTAATTTGTATGAAAAAATTATAATGAAAGTTGGGAAGTAGAAATAGAATGTGTATAAAATGACAGTATTTTTGCATTGCTATTAGATGTTCATAATCTTGTTCATGATACTGGGAATCAGAACAGTGTCAGATTAAAAATAAGTACGATAAGACCAGTGAAACAAATAACTGGCTGTGGCCACAAAAGAAAATGATAGAAATGGAAATGTTGTGATGAATATTCCTCTACACACTGAAGGAAATGGCAGGTGTACTAGGAAGATGAGGAATTGTAGAGCAAGGTGGACGAGAAAGAAACTTTAAGCAGGCAAGACCTAGGGAAGTGAATGCCAAAGATGACATGAAGTTAAACCCAAAGCAAGATGGATGAAAATGAAACCTGAAGCAAACAGGACTTGCAAAAGACGGAGCAAAGGATGTCATCTTGTTTTCCCTGCAGTCGGAGAAAGTCGAAATACTTACTGCTCCAAAATCCACCATTCACTCCTTAAACAACAACTGAATTCCATAGCCGTATAGTTGTACCTTGTCCAGTGGTTGTGCCTGATTTCCTTTGGGAGATATTTTTATAGACACCAAATATACAGAACTCTATTTTGTCGAGTTTGTCCAGTCTAAATTTCTAAACCAGTTTGTACTGTGGATGTTCTGCATGTTACATCACTATTATATAGTGTAAGTAAAATTCTTCGAAGGAATGATAAGGGAAATTAAACATAATGTCAGTGGACTTGATCATGTAAAGTGTACAAAAAGGAAATATATAATGTGAAAGAAAAGTTTATCTCTTCTTGCACCAATGAAATACTAAAATAAAAGGTATGCTGTTTGTTTAATTATGATAATTTTGTTTGTATAGTTTTTTGTTTTTCTTGTTTAGAGGTGAAGCATTGATTATCAGTGATCGGAAGTATAAAAATAAAGCCTGAAATTAAAGTTGAGTGCATTAATCACATGATAAAATAGATTTATTATGTTATTATTTTTACTTGTGTAACTGTTTAACCCTTTTGATGCAGTGGCATGTAGTATGATGCCATACTACTGGGCCTAAACCACAGATGTCATCCCCCTCAATCCCTTGCCCGTTGTTGTCGTGGGGGGGGCGTAGGAGACGGAGACTGAGACCCAATGCAGGGATCTCCCCTGCCAATGGCCTCAGCCCTCGACTCGACTAATTTTGCATCTCCCTCCAGTTTTCTTTTTCCGTCCCTTCTCCAGCCCCTTCTACTATCTACTTTCTAAGGTGTAAGAGCCATGCTGAAAGGATGAAAGGCTCACCTTGTGCCAGTCCTGAACGGCCTGCGGGAACCATGGGCACAGTATTCCAGATTTAGTTGTCTAGCCCTTGCCCCCTTAAGGGGCACTGAGGGAGTGGACTGTTTATTTTCCCTACATAATCAAGGCTTCCCATGGCCAGTAATGAAGTAATACCTATATTAGAGTTAATGAGGCCTGCCGCTTCATCAAATAGCCCCACCAATTCAGACTCTACCGGCTCCCCGACCCCAGGCTCTCCTTTGACCACGACTCTGAACACTGAAACTACCACCCACTTTTGGTGCATTACCCACCAAAGCTGAAACTCAATCTCCAGACGACATTCCTACCCTCCCAACTTCCTCAACTTCATCACCTCTACCCCTACAACCTTCATTAAATACCCCAACCTCCCTTATTACTACCTTACAGCCTTATTCTCTATCTCTCCATAATACTACCCCCATCAACAACACTCCTTCTTCCACACATCCCCGTCCTATCACCACCAACCCTACAAATATCGTAACAGTCAGATCTGAAACTGAAGCTATAGCATTATCAAATCTAACTGATCACTCTGGCAACCCCATTCCTGCAGAACGTCATCCAACTCTTAATACTTGTACCGGAACTGTCTCTATCTCCCCAGCAAACTGCCCAGTCGATACCAAAGATTGGTCAGACTGTGGAGAAGACTTACTCGAATGTCGTTCGCTCTGCCCCTCCCCCTCCAACCCAGGATGTTCCTACACTTTCCCCTGTACCTACTTACTTCCCCACTTCCACTTCTACATTCTGCCTCCCCCAGTCAAATTCTTTTGGCACTCTAAATCCAGACACTCCAATCTCAACTACAGCCCCAACACCATCCCCTCTCCCTCCCCGCACTGTCTGCAGCAGACTGAAAATCCCCCCCTTCTTCCCCTACTCACCTCCACCAATCTTTGCCATTATTTCTCAGACACCAGTCTCCTCTTCCCCCTCTCATAAGAAAACCTCTGTCTCACAAAACTCTCCAACCAACTCCACTGCAGAAACTATTGAAGATATTCAAAACTATATGCCTGAGACACATTTCCACAACTCATGCTCTCTCCCCACTTGAAGTGACTGCCGATATCCATCCTCCTCCTACTCATATTCCCCCTACACCGGTTCCTCCTACTCCCTCCCAACATAACCCAACCCCCTCAACTCGAACTACACATACATTCTCCCTCCCTCTATCCCCTTTATCATTTCCACTCCCTCCTGGATACACACATGAATCCCATATGTAATTCCCTTACCTAGACCCACCATAGCCCATTCACACAGCAACTCCTTTTCCCATCTTAAACCTTTCAAGGTTACTCTAGACAGTTGACGCATAGCAACTATCACCCTTCACTCCTCCTTTAATATACTTTCCTATAGTGCTAAATTACCTTAGATGCCTAGTGTATTTATTTTGCTTTTTTAACCATTTACCATTAGCATTTTGTCATGAATTTCCAGTCTCCACATACACAGGGTCATAGTAAAATTTAGTTAAACAAATTTTCTTGATCTTTAGACTTTATTGTGCAAAAAGTCATCTTACAACACATACTTTTTTAAATTAAAGCATATCTAGTGAAATTCACGCCAGCGATAAGCTAGATATAAAAATATGGTTCTAGAAAAAGACTGGAAGAAGACCCAAAAACTGTCCCTTAACCTGTACATTTCTCCATGAATAAACATTAATCAAGTAAATAATAAAATACTTTGTCCTCTCAACTTCGGAGGAACCATTATACCAGATTTACAAAATTGATTCCCTTCTGTCAATTAGGAGAATGTTACTTATGAAAAGCAATTTACTGATAAAAAATAATAGTCGGTACAACTTGTATCTCAGAACAAACCTAGTAAAATTATTTCAGCTGCAATCAAAAAATGCCGAGTAACCCAGTCCAATGTAGACTTAACATTAAATGCATTTTAAATCTGAATTCAAGTACTCTGTCTTTTATTCCATTTTGCTCGAATACGACACCCTCAGAACACACGACGACAAAAATACACACTGCTGTCATGGTATCATCATCCTCTTTTATAAAGGCTGCATCACTACAGATACTTCAGAGATGTTGCATAAAAGTGTTATTAATATTACCGTCTTCGCCTATCTGGTACAGCCAATCACAACCTACACTATACTATGACCATTCCTCTTTACTTTGTATTTTAATTTTAGTTTTCTGATTATCAGGGGTGAAACGACTTCCCTTTTCGGATCTTTATTAACACTGCAAAGAGATACTATACAGAATTCATAACGATTTCCATTTTATATGAAAGGTAAAATCAATACCAAAAATAATTTCAAATCCGCAAAAGATTTATAAATAACATATAAAATATAGTCTTCCCGTTACTAAATCATAAACATTCAAAGTATTTATCTACATAACGATCATTCAATCCAAATAAGAATTTTCTTAATGCTCCCAACTTTTTACACAAGTATGGCAGGACCTAATAATTACTATCTTCATTCAAAGTGCGTCAAGTTGGCCTCCCACTGACACCAAAATATTCTTTGAAAACATATCCCGATTCATGGTTTTCTAAGTACCTAAATACATCTCCCATGTCAACATGAAACCCTCCATTCTTGACCCGGATGTTATTCTCGGAGCCAAGCTCTTCAAATGTTGGAAATCTTCGTAGTTTATCAATGTCTTGACCCTTAGTGACATCAACGATTTCTCGGCTTTTAACAAGAATCTTCTGCCAGTTCCATGACCTAACCTGTTAGTAAAATTTTAAAAAGGCATTAATATAACATAAAAGAGATATCTTTACAAAATTTATTAATTACCTGAGGAAAAGGTTAAATGTAAGAAACTATTCTCCAGATCAAACATTCAGCTTATCCCCCAAGTCACTTGATTATTCATCACACTGTGAAGTTGTGCCTCTGAGGAAAGTCACCTCAACTGAGCATCAACTTTTAAAAACAGGTGGGCCATTTTCCTGTCACTTCAAGGCTGGATGCAAAGTGAATGCCCCATGGCTGCATTCTCCATGCATCTGGGTGGCTTCTCCTCCCATCTAATCCTTCCTGTATATTCTCTTCAAGCCATCCGAGACTGTTATATGCTTCATCCCATCCTCTGCCCTCCATTCTTGGACTCCCTGCTCTCTCTTCATATAATCACTTCTTGAGTTTCTTTGTACTTTATATACAATGTAAATACACATTTCACTGTTAAAAAAGTTAAGGTGACTATGTCTTATTGGTTTATATTTCTTTTACTATTTCCTATTTCCACTCATATGGAAGGAATAACTTTTGAAATTTAGTGCAAAATTGAGCTCTTCAATCATTAAAGATCAAATTTTGCTATAAACCCCAATATAATCCACAACTGAGAAGACCAATGTCCGTACCTTCTGCCACCAATCATCTGTGTTGCGTGACATTCCTTCTACACATATGATTCCGGGTTTCCCAGGTAAGCAGAAGCCCGACAAGTCAAACTCTCTTGATAAATCCAAAATATCCTTGCGTTTTACCTGAAATATTAAAAAAAACATTCATTATCTTACACATGAGTATTAAAACATAATACAAGGCAGTTATCTTTTTCTTCCTAACTTTGAAAGACAAATAAGCAATGTATTCAGTATCAGAAAATGCAAATTTACCCAATGGTGCCAGATAATCATAATGTTTACTGTGAGTTTTATTTACACACAGATGGCTAGAAGTGATCAGCCACCAAGCAGCCAATTAGTAAGCCTTTATGTCTAGCTGAATTCC